TTTATATATATAATATTCCTAATTCGAATATTATCCTTTTCGCACAGATTTCAGTCCTGAGAGAAGTGTTAGACTGGCCGACTACAGCGGCGGTCAACCAACTTCTGATGGCGCCAGCGAGTGCGGCAGCGAGACGTCGTCCGAGTGTCCCGAGGAGTTGTACAATCTGACGAAGCTGGCGGAAGTGAGTCTGGCAGCAGCGGCGGGCACTTTAATCCATCACGGCAATGTCATTTATCAGCGACCAGCGTCGCCAAAGTTCGCGCAGTATCCTGCGGAGGCAAGTAGGACGTTTGGCTCTCGATCCACCATCCAGGTGACGGAAAATCAGGGGGAGTCCCAAGTCCTGGACGAACGAACGAGACTCTTCTTCGAACGAATCGAAACCGAGAGGGAGATTCTGAAGACTCGTCCCGAGGAGAACACTACCTCGGGAATTCGTCTTTCGCCACGGCATCCCTCCTCGCAGGAGGAATCATGTCGTTCGAAAGTGACGGTCGTTCCCGATGTCGGCGTCGATCCGGCATCGGTTCCTTCGACGACGTCGATCCAAGGTCGCAGGACGACCGCAGCCGAGCTCAAATCGGAGGACAACGAGGATCACGAATGTCCCGACTGCGGCAAGAAGTACTCGACCTCCTCGAATCTGGCCAGACACCGACAGACGCACAGGTCATTGGGAGATAAAAAGGCCAGGAGGTGCCCGCACTGTGACAAGGTTTACGTCAGCATGCCGGCATTCAGCATGCACGTGAGGACCCACAATCAGGGCTGCAAGTGCCACTATTGTGGCAAGTGCTTCTCCAGACCGTGGTTGCTGCAGGGACACATACGTACACACACAGGTAATAATCTTGAGCTATAGAAATGTGTTATCAGAAACATTTTATTCATTGCGATAACTTTGATTGTAAACAAGATATCGTATAATTTAACAAGATATCGTATAATAATTATATAATCTGTAACTGAAAAAATGAAGAAGAATTATTTATTTCTACACTTAATTTGAGATAAAATCGTTTGGCTGTCTCGCTTTTTGTTGTTTGTTGCTGTCCCTGACCAAATGCATTGCATTTTCTTGCAATAATAGATGTTACATAAATAAACTAAGACAAACTATTTTTGAAGAGAGTACAGTAGGTTTAACAAGCTTTCAATGAAGATGAATTCGATTTAATCATTCACTATGATTTTGGCACGTTCTAAGATGCGACACTATTTTTAACTGCACGTTACAGATATACTACTGTGAAATCGGTTGACACGTAATAATATATTTATGTTTTTCAACGTGCTAATATATTGAAAGTGATTAATTTAGTTGTTCAACTGAATAATTGAAAAACGCAAAATATGATTCTTTTCCATTTTCTATCTTTAATTTTATTTTCAAAAATAACGCTTTTGTATTTTTTATACATTATTCTATATTTTTTCAAAAAAGATTATATAATTTTTGCAAAGAAGTGGTTAATCATTAATTTAATTAAACCGATTTATTAAAAAGGGAAAAATTTAATTTTGACTTTAAGCCGCTTTAAGTTTATTAAAAATAAGTAGTTGGCGACGATTAATAATTGAATTTATAAATTTAAAAATAAAAAGTTATATGGGATAAAAAAGTCAAAGATTTTGCCTTATTGGATATTGCCGGTATTCCATTTTTGTATAAAGTTTAATTATTTAATTTACAATATTAATATTCGATCTTAAAATAAATTCTTCGATTACCATTCAAGTTGCATTCTAGTATTAACTTCTAGTATTCATTACTTAAATAAGCATGCTTTTGGTAAAACTAGATTACACATTATACACATTACATATTATATATTAGAAAAATATATTTAATTATTATTTATGATCTTCCAGGTGAAAAACCTTTCAAGTGCACCATTTGCAACAAAGCCTTTGCCGACAAATCGAACCTACGAGCTCATATACAAACGCACTCGAATACCAAACCCCACGTGTGCGGTCGTTGTGGCAAGGCTTTCGCTCTGAAATCGTATCTCTACAAGCACGAAGAATCGTCTTGCATGCGTGCCCATCATCGATCGTCTACGGATAAAACCGATCAGATTGAGCAACAAACGACATCGCCATCGGTGAAACCGAGTGCTCCATTATCGTCGTCCTTGAACAAATCGTTACAATCGACGTCGTGCGTCACGGCATCGCCCACTAGCGTCATAGTTCCTCGATTGGGACTCGAGCGTGATCAGAAAGGCTCGTCGTCTGCGTTTTCCGCGATCATAAGACACACCAGAACATCGGACGCACCCGCAGCGACGCCATCGAAACGACCCTGCAGAGAGAAGACACCCTGTCCGAACGATTTGGAGAGGCAGAGTGACCCCCCCGAGTCGGTGACTAAAGATCCGGATTACGTGTCAAGAATGGTCATCAGAACGTCGGTGATATCACCCAATCCGGAGCACTTGCATCTCCGTTTCGAAAATGACGTTAAAAGTTCCTCGACTACGTTCGATTATTCCGATCCGACAAGATCCTCGGCCTTTTCGAGACCTGCCACAATGACTTTGAATCTAGCCATCGCGTAAATTTTGATTAACTTAACCCAAATCAGACCAATAAATCAAAGAGAATTCAGATTTTACTTTGTGCTTACGTTTGCACGAAACAATTTTATAATAAGGAATTTTCTCGAGATACAGAATTCAATCGGAGATTTTAATTAGACGAAGATTCCAAGATATTCTACTTGAAATATTCTGAGTTTTTATAAAAAAATGAAAACAAAAATTTAGAAATTCTTTTAATCAATTAAAACAATAATTAAAACTGATTTACGAGACTGTGGTATTAAATAACTTAATTGAAATTGAAAAATTGAAGAAGAAGATATGGATTGTTGGGACGATTGTACAGTTAAAACAATCGACATTTCTTTTAGTTATCAATTTTTTTTCATTAAAAATCTGCTTCAAATTGAGTCAATTTTTTTAACAGTATATACAATTACTGGAAACAGTTTGAGAGTTGACGGACGTTCTATATAATTTTGATGGCGCTTTCTCAGATGTTATAAGATTCTATAACTATCGATATTTTCTTTTATCGAACTCAGATCATTTCTAACGTTAAACGACATTGCGAATTAACAAAGAATCATCGACAGTGTTTTTTTGCGTATGACAGATAATATTATTCCAAGCACCTTCCGAATTAGGGACCATCTAGCGAGTTAGTCGTAATAATGTTAAATTTGTAAGCCCGTTTAATTTAGCGCGAATGTATCGATGTAAAGTCGTGCCTTACATAAGTATATCGGATCGTGTCCTAGCAGCACGACGCAGCGACAGACAGCTCCGACAGAATTAGCGTGTACGCGGATGAACGTGTGGGGAAAGAAATTTTCGAGAGCGTCTGCTTAAACGCCAAACTCGTGACCTTATCTATTTAAAGGCGTGGCGTCGCTATCGCGCGGCGTTAAGCGATTGAGATTGATCATCGACACGGACTGAATTGCAGCGCCGTCGTCTTATTATTATTTTAGGATTAAATGACATGAACGCGAGATTCCCCCCAAGGCTCTTCGAGGCAGCTACCGAACTTTGTAAGATGTAGAATACGAATATGAACAACAGGTGTGGCGAATCCTAAGAAAGAGAAAGGAAGATATCTTCGTTCTATACATAACCGAGAGATGAGTTTCTACGACTTTTTGCGACCAACGATAGAAAGCGACGCAACCGTTTGGGCGCGGTTTGTCTTTGCCTAGAGAAGAAAGAATTTTCTTACGGGAAAAAAAAAAAAAAAAAGAAAGAAAGAAAACGCGTCGGTTCTCGAAAAGCGAGAAAGCGTGTATCTGTGATTCGGAATTGCGCAATCCGGTTGCCGCAAAAAGCCGGCTCCAGACACAATGCGATCATTTGCCAAAAATATAGAAATAAAATATATATACATATGTAATATTACACATTTCATATCATAGAATTAAGTCTAGACCCAGTGTGGTCGTTCATTAGTGTACCCACCTGTTATGTGATGAATTTTGCTGTATTAATTCTATGCAATTTAGTATATCGTGTGTGTGTAACGTCGTCAACGAACGTTATCCAGTCGAGAGCATTAGTGCCATAGCAGCGTTCTCCAGCAGCGAAGTAATTATAGCGGCGATAAATAAGCCCTTCTCCTTTCGTTCGTTTGCGGTGCCAGAGATTGGTGTCCGATCAGAGTGTCTGAACTAGTCGAATCCGTTTCGCCATCGTGAACGCAATCTGCCGTCATGAAGAAAGCTTTCAATTTTCCACGTCGCGATTTATCGTCGCGATCAGACATTATCTCGAATGACGATATTAAATTTTTTTGTCCCTCTTCGAAGGATTCGGGCGGTAAGATTATGCGGATTACGCGAGTGGCGGCGGTTATGATAAAGATTTCGTATAGGTGTAATAATGTGTCGCGCCGCGCAACAAGATCGACCGTCGCGTTAGCCGAGGAATCTGCTCGAGTCGATGTAATTGTAATTAATTTACGAGCGGCTCGGACACACACGCGCGTCCTAGTCATACGATAGATCGCCCGTGGACGAGAATAGGGATCCCGATCTAGCGTTAAGCACGCGTTGATCACACATTGTAAATAGCATTCCCACTTTTACATATTAGACACTTTAGTGTCTCGCGCGTGCGAGAAAGAAAGAGACAGAGGCGTTTTGGTACACTCGTTTTTAGATAGCGATTTATTACGACCGTTGTATGTATTATACGTGCTATTTGTACACACACCGGAGTGCCTATACGCGAAACATTTACCCGCATCTTTTTTACGAATTGTAAAAGTCTTGTCTATTATGTAACGAAAGAATAAAAACACGAAGTGATATATGTGTACGTTTCAGATACGTTTTGAATTGGCTTTTGCGGCCTTCTTGTTTCCTTTAATCCTTTCTCATCTCCGTTACGTAACGAAGTTTAAAAGTTGCATGAAATAATTTAATTCTGTATGCATATCGGATTGCGATACGCGCGCATAAAGCTTTCCGTTCAATACTCTCTCGCTTCGCCTTTTTATTTATTAATTGAACTTATTATCGCGCCGATGAACCATGCGATCATTAGCTACGCTTGGTAGGATAAACAGCGACTAGCTGTGTTTAACAAATAGATTAGTCTCAGTAATTAGGCCAACGAAAGCGAAATGACTAGCCCACGATAAATCAAATTAACTCAATGTCGCTCGTGTACATATTTATGCGATTTCAAATTTAAAAAAAAATAAAACTTTATATATAACGTTTAATATCGAATAGAGTATATCCATATTTTTAACTATTACTGTAGCCTACAACAGAATAAAGAATTGAAAATGAAAATAAATACATGTTATACATTCATAGATATATAATATTGCAATGTAATAATTATTAATTTTAACTTACGCTATAAACATTTATATATATGTATATATATATATATATATGTATATATATAAACATTTATATATATGTATATATATATATATTAAAAAAGTTTATATATGTAAAAGTTTATACCAGTAATAATAAAGATCAAGAGATTTCTTGGATTTATTTAATATATTCAAAAATGATGAAAAGTGATTGACGTTTAAAAGGTAAATTCATGGGATTTTAAGTGTCAATCACTTTTAATAAATCCAAAAAATCTCTTGATCTTCATTATTACTGTTTACGTGCCATTTACTTACGGACATTGAAGCTGTAGCAATCGAAAGCTAAGTCTTTACTCTCACCAATACATTAGTAACAATAATCCCCGTGAGAAATTTTCATTGCGAAAAATATTATCTTAGCCAGAGCATCGGACCTAAATCATCCGCTTTCCGGTCGAAAAAAATTTTGTTGTTTACAAACTCGGGAAATCGTCAAAAATTAAACAAGCAATGAGGGTGATAACAACACGAAGAATCTAAGTTTCTCGTTTCTTCTTAACTGCAACATAAACGGTATCCTTTAAGTCAATGACGGGGCGCATATCTTTCGGTAACGAGATCCGCAGCGACAAGACGAGACCAAATGAGATAACTTGATACACACGAGTATGTCTGTACGCACTTACATCACGACGCATATTCCCGGAACTTCCTCCAGCTATTCCTCTACTCCCGCCTCGCGATTACACGGGCCCTTACGATTCCAAGCGCGGCGCCTTGTAAGACCAACCACGAGCGGGACCGAAGAAGAGACGCGGAGGAAGAAACGAGTAGAGTCGGTGGGAATCTGTTTCCAGCGGGGTTGAATCGTCGTCCAGATTTTAGCTCGCGTCAGTCGTGAGGATCTCGCAGAAGGTTCGAACCATGCGGTCGTACCTCATCGTCCTGATTTTTCTCGCGAGCACGGCACTCGCGAGGTACCACGTAAGTTTTCCCCGTACTCCGGCTTCCCATTTCCTTGAGGAAACATCGACCCTCCTTTCGTATCTGCATTTAACGATCGAGATATCCATGTGAATGTGTTCGACAAATTGAACCGGTTCAGTGAGTCAATATATCTCTGCGTAGACATCTGAAAAATAACAAAAGAGTGGACACAAAAATTGTTTGATCTATCTCAAAGAAAAAAGTTTTTAGCATCGAAAATAATCAACGGGCGATATTCTTCTTATTTTTGTTTAGTCGATTGTATTGTATCTACATGACCTGTAATTATTTTTATCAATTAGTTTTTTTGTTAATTCGCATTTTGTTGGCGTGTCGTTTATTTTGAAGACGATTAATTAGGCACTTCCAGAGAAAATGCTCAAATTTCTGCTTGTTTATAAAACTGATCGGGTTATCGCAGATTTGTGATGGTGACATTAATAACGTCCGCGTATGCGTTCATTGTTCACTCATTTATTTTTATTGTAATAATAGATAGCCGTTTATCGCTCTTTTTCTCGTGATTTAGAGCATTTCGCATTGCCGTGTTTCGCGCAGCGTTGTGAAATTCAACAAATTGCAGGCGTGTCTCATCTATCTGTAGCGATAAACGTAGAAATACGATCTCGCGATACCTCTTTTGTTACTTCATTCATCATTCTGAAACTTCGCGTGATAAGTCCAAAAGTAAACCGAATCGTATAAGCTATGGTTACAAAATAATTACAACCGCGTTTCGTCTGAGAAAAGGCAAGAATAATTTTGCTGAAGTGTCTAAAAATTTGATCAGATATAAATCTGAAAATAATTTTGTTGGATCATCAAAATTATTATGTAAGATCATGATAATAATATTGCACAAATGATGAAAATATTGCAAAAATTTCTGATATATTAGCAACTAATTTGAAACGTTCTACATAGTTATTTTGATGACTCAACAAAATTATTTTCAGATCTATATTTGATTAATTTTAAATTTTCAAATATTTTAACAAAAATATCCTTTCTAGGAATATTAAATAAGACACAGTTTTATTTACATACCGAATATTCTAGCAATGTTGCAGCAATTGCAATATTTATTCAACTAGAATGTTCCATGTATGTCTGGATCAAAAAGTTAATTATCAATGAAATTAATCCTTTGAAAAATTTGATAAAAGTTTATATTAAAAAATGCATGTTAAACGCAGACGTCATAAATTTCATTTTTATTGAGCTGGTGAAAGCGCTTGTTTTGGTTCGTTTTAGCTCGCACTTTTGTCATGAAGTCAGATGTAATGTCAACCCTGCCATTCCAATTATTTCTCTACGACAGGTTACTGGCGCGGGTCACACGACGCGCGAGACTAGAAAGACGATTATTCAGAAAGAAAGATTTGGCGGTTAAAGTTCACGAGATAAGAATGAACGATAGAGATTGCCTAGCTTGTTCTCGATCATAATGCTTTTTTTACCCCCTTTTTGTCAGCAATGAGAAACATCGCTGGCGTCATTCCTATGACTGTACAATTTATAGCAGCCTTAACATCAATTAAAAATTATTGTTATATTAATATTTATATTATATATAAATTATTTATAATTTGTGTAAATGTAAACAATTAATATATAATATCTATAACAATTAACATTATTATTTGTAGGAAAAAACTCGTTTTGATCGATCTATTCACGAATACAAGACACGAATAGAAGACACAAAAAACAATAATAAAGATGAATCTTTTACTGACGATGTAACGGTAAAGGATTTTCACATTATCTGTGTGTGTGTGTGTGTGTGTGTGTGTGTGTGTGTGTGTGTA